GTGTGTGTGTGTGTGTGTGTGTGTGTGTGTAAAGAAATAAATGCTTCAGCTGAATGTTTCCAAATGATTTTCCAAAAGATATCGACACTGATATGTACAGTCTGCTCAAATCTCTGATTTGTTGTTACATTTGTGAAATATGGTTCTCTTGTAGACTGGCGGAAGGAGAAGTTCCAGGCCTGTGAGTTACTTCTCATTCTTTCTGGGTACTCCTACTGCTGCCCCATGGCTTCTGATGTCTCCTTTAGCTTGCTGTGGTGTTACAAATGCTGGCACCATCAATGGTTGTGCAGTGGGATGGGCAGTGAAAGTCACATAGCTGAGCTTAGTGGATGTGACTGATATTGGATTCCAAATAGATCCTTAAGTCCTTGAGTCCAGACTAGTCCTCAAGTTCCCTGTGACCCATCTAACCCTCAGCTCAGTCTTATGCTTACTTCTCCTGCTTGGAGAGCTGTGTACTTGAGTCACAAGACTCTCATCTCAGGAGGCTTAGCCCTTCCCATATGCAACTAGGTGTCTGAGGGTGGTGGTGGTGGTTTTGTGCCCTTGTTATGGGGCAGGGGAAGGTCTTGCATGATTGGCAACTCTCTCTGCAGTGTCTGTCACTCTGGATCCAGCGTCTGCACATCACCACCTTGCTGTCTCTGGTGGACAGACTAGTGTGACCTTGGAGGACACAACTGAGGACCCAGGAGAACCCTGTAGCATCTTGGGCCAGGAGGCCATCACATCAGGGCGCTGTTACTGGGAAGTTGAGATCAGGAATGGAAACAGAAGCGAGTGGGGTCTGGGGGTCTGTAGGGGAGATGTGGAGAGGAAAGGCTGGTACAGAGAGTGGCCAGAAGTGGGGTTCTGGGTTCTGGGAGGGTACAGAGGTAAATTACATGCTCTCGTCACTCAGAGTCAGGAAATCTGTGATGAAGTTCCCCACAGGGTGGGTGTTTTCTTGGACCTCAAAGAAGGGGATGTCTCCTTCTATAACATGACTGATGGATCTCACCTTTTCTCATTCCCTCTAACTTCCTCCACTGGGACTCTGTTTCCATACTTCATGATTCAGTCAGGAGATGTGTCCCTGACCATCTGCTCTGTGGTGGGTGTGTCTACAGAGACCCCTGTGCCCCTTAACAATCTTCCTTCTTCTTTGGAGGAAACTGTAAACCTCTCAGGGGATGGGTTCAGCTCAGGCTCTGCTGTTGATGGTGCTCTCCCAGGGGCCGACTCTCCATTACTCCCCTATGGCCCTGAGGCTATGTGACCATAGGACCCCAACACTGTCCCAGACTCCTTATGGTGGCTCTTTCTGGAGCTTCACATTCCTTGAGACAAAAGCCTCTGAGGTCAGTCCTGGATGACCTGGTGTCTTGCACTCTTGCTCTGGATGCAGTCTCCTGGTGTATGGCTATGAGAACAGTCAGTTCATGCCTTATGCTCAGGCAACAGAAGATAATAGTTTACTGAGCTGGTTTAGGGTAGGCTGCATTTAACTATTGGAATTAGTGCTTCTTTTGGTAATGAAAATTATTTCATACAGTCTTTATTCTGCTTGGATATGAAGGAGATGAGGGCTGAATGACTCTGCAGAATTAAATGGTGTATATTTTATCCAACTTGAGTTGTGCAGATGAACCCAGAGGCTATGAGTAGGTCACCAGTTCTATTTTGGGAAATGTGCACTCTGACCAGAGACATTGGCCATCCAAAAATTTCTGGAGAAATGAATGGCTGATTGATGTTCAAGAGGAAAGCAGTCTAATATTCTACTGTATATACCTCCTATTCTGAGATGGTGGAAGCACACTTATCTTACCAACCTTAGTAAATATCTGTTATTCGTGAAATACCAGTGCTGTGTTAATTCAGGAATTAAGAAGAAGGATCTGGTTCTTCCTGTGTGTCAACTCTAGTTGGAAAGAAGAGAACTTCTACCAGAATAAAGATATGAATGAGGAAGAGAATTTTCAGATGCTGGGTGAATTTCAAGAAGCTTTGACTATGAGCATGGTTTCCAGAATCTGTGTAGTGCCTCTCATTACTTCCAAGTCCAAAGGTGGAGTGCCTGAGTGGCTCAGTGGGTTAAGCGTCCAACTTCAGCTCAGGTCATGATCTCACAGTTCGTGGGTTCAAGCCACACATCAGGCTCTGTGCTGACAGCTCAGAGCCTGGAGCCTGCTTCGGATTCTGTGTCTCCCTCTCTCTGCCCCTCCCTGCTCACGCTCTGTCTCTTTCTCTCTCAAATGTAAACAAACATTAAAAAAATGGGGGAGGGGAAGAGGACCTAATAGATATTTTTCCAAGAAGACATGCAGATCACCAATAGACACATGAAAAAATGCTCGACCTCACTCATCATCAGGGAAATGCAAATCAAAACCACAATGAGATATTACTTGACCCTTGTCAGAATGGCTAAAAACAAAAAGACAAGAAATAAGAAGTTGGTGAGGATGTGGAGAAAGG